TGAAATTTTCATAAAGTAATGTAATTCTAAGCAAATGTGTCATGTTGTAACTCTGTCCAGGGCCATGTTCTCATGCTGTCAAACTTCTATACCTGGAAATTATTGTTACTTTCTAATTGCTAAAGGTAAAAAGTAGTTCTCTTGCCAGCATTTTCCTTTCAGATAGTCTCACTGTGACTCTGGCAGTGGTGACTCTTACCTTTTTTGCTAGTGACTACATCCTCACTTAGCCATGTTGTCTCACCTGTGGACGGGCCTTTGTTACCATTTTCCATAGTTGAAGAAATTCAATTTCCTTTGGCTGTTTCTTGGTATGTAAGCCTTTTCAGTTCTCTACCTTTATCACTGAATATGGCTGAAATCCTTGTTCTAAAATCTTTGCTCTAGAGTATTGATCTGAACTACTTCCTACTCTGCCATAGACATTACTATAAATATTTAGCATATAATTTTTTAAACTTTCTATTGACAGCCAGAGTTGGTTAGTTTGCCCTCCTTGCAATTAGGTTATGTTTGAGAAGTAAGGTATGACATCAAAGAATATTAAAATATCTTGTTGTTAGCCAAGCGTAGTGGCACACACCTTTAATCCCAGCACTTGGGAGGCAGAGGCATGTGGATCTCTAATTTATAGGCCAGTCTGGTCTGCATAAGGAGTTCTGGGACAGCCAGGACCACATAGAGAAACCATGTCTCAAAAACAAAGCAAAGTAAAATAAAACAAAACAAAAATCTTGTGTATTGAAGTGCACTTGAGAGTTCCAGAATTTTTCTGAAGATCACAGATTTCCTTAGTACAAGAGATCTTTCACATTTTAATCCAGGGTAAAGGAACTTACCTGGAAGCGAACTTTGTAAACTTACTCAGAAAGTTTATTTCATGTTGAGTCTTCAAAGATAAGAGAACACAGAGCATATCCAACCACAAATTTTGGAGAAACTAACCAATTTAAATTTGATATAACAAAAAGACGATTGCTAGAGAATAGATACTGAGTAGTGACAAAGTCATCAGAGTTCCGAAAATTGTTCCATTTCCATTTGAGCACTTATTGTTTTTATTACACACACACACACACACACACACACACACACACGAAGATTATAAGATTATAATTACACCATCTGCCCTTCCCTTTCCTGCTATAATCCCTCCCATTTACCCTCTTGATCTCTTTCAAATTAATGGCCTCTTACTTATTGTTCCATACATACATACATATCTACACACACACACACACACACACACACACACACAAACAAATGAATAATAAACCTTCTCAGTCTTTATAATGTTGCATGTATATGTATGTTTTCAGGGCTGATCATTTGGTATTGGAAACCATTTAGTGTTCTCTTCCCACTTTGAGCATTCCGTAGTAGTTCTTTGATGCTTCAAGGAGATGAACGCACACAGCAGACTTCCTGTTCCTCTGCCTCTTAAAATTGTTTCATCCCCACCCCCCAAACTGATCCCTGAGCCTTAGGTGCAGGAGCTGGGTTGTAGATTTGTCAGTTAGGACTGGGCTCCACAACTCTACATTTTGATTGGTTGTGGTTTCTATAGTGGTCTCTATTTGTTGCAAAGAGAATTTTTTTTGATGAGGAGCAAGGGCCAACACTTTCCTGTGGGTATAAGGACAGATATTTAGAAAGTTAGGGATTAGGCCAGTTTAGTAAAGTGGTGGTTGTAGGTTCTCCTCTAAGATCCATGACCTTACTAATCTTGGGTAGTTGACCAGGTTTCTGGTATCAGGCATGATTTCCCTCTTGTTGAATAGGTCTTCAATTTTAGAGAGCTGTTGGTTACCACCAAGGCATTCTTGCCACTGTTTCACCCTTAGAGTTATCCTGACATGGTGGGCCTTGCTGTAGTTCATAGACATAATACCTGGTGGTACTATTAGTTGTTTCCTTCCTTGCGTACACGGTTCCTTGTTGTACCATAAAAGCATATGTGTGAAAGAGGCTTTCAGGTCAGATCCATTCCAGGTCTTCTGAATCTTGTGGATGAAGTACATGGTGCCTTTATCAATAGGGCCTTACCTTCCACCTCTGGGATCGGTTCACCAGGTAGAGCAGCAATATCCTCTAATGTTTTGGGAATCTCACAGAAGCCTCAAAAGAGGGCTTCTCCTGCCTGGTATTAATGTTTTTGTTGGATAGTCTGTGGCTCTTGGGGGAGCATTGTCAGCTCTGATGGGAATATTTCATTTAAACTATATGTATTTTTATATAGAGTTTTATATGTGTCATAGGTATTTTAGGTATATAGTTAATAGTATTATTCCTTAGGCCTTTTCTGATAGCCTTTCTATTATGTTACCTTCCTCCCTCCTTCTTCTGTATTTGCATCCTCCTTTTAGACCTGTCCCTTCCTCAGATCACTTGTACCCTGCTATTCACCTTTCTATCATTACTCCTTCCCTGTAATGGTTTTTTTTAAACTTTCTTGATTTCTGTAATTACTCCAGATTATCTATATATTGACATCTGAAGATTTGTAGTTAGGAACCTCAGATGTGACCATTTTTTCTTTCTGGGTTTGTGTTATACCATTCCATGTGATCTTTTATGGTTTCTTCCATTTACCTGCAAATATCATTTTTCTTTATGGCTGCATAGTATCCATAGTAAAGATGTACCATGTTTCATTATCTGTTTTTTAGTTGAAGGGCATTTAGGTTGTTTCATTTCCTAGTTGTTGTGAAAAGAGCAGCAGTGAACATGGCTGAGTAAGTATCTGTGGAGTAGAATGTTGAGTCTTTTGGGCATATGCTGAGGACTGGTGTCGTTTGATCATATAGTAGGTTTATTTTTAGCTTTTTGAGAATTCTGCCCACTGACTTTCAGAGTGGACAGACCAGTTTACAATCCCACCAACAATGAATGAGGGTTCCCCTTTGCCCCACATCCTCGCCAGCTTTTACTGTCAGTTGTGATCTTTGCCATTATGACTGGGTAAGGTGAAATTGACATCTAGGTAAAGATTTGTTATACCCTACTTGTTTTCTGGGTGTTCTCTTCTGGAATCTATAAACTGAGTCCCTAGACAGAGAGCTAGTAGCCAACCTGTATTCTTTTGTAGGGCTTTGCTATATTGAGATTTGTTTTGCTGGAAGTTTAATTTAATTTTTGTCAGTTATAGATGTATAGATGTTTTTCATTTCCAATATCAGCTGAAAATTATAGAAGTCTAAATCCTCATTCACTGAATGTTGTCATTCAGCAATGTAGCACTTTGGTGTAGGGATTGCATTGTAGTTATAGTAATTGGGGCTGGGCACCTCACAGTTATTCTCAGCTCTCTCCCTCCTTCCTTCCCTCCCTCTCTCTCTCTCCTCCCCTCCTTTTATTTATGTTTTCTGATGAATCCTTTCTGCATTTGTGGTTTGATATTTATCATTAGTCTTATGAAATTCGTAGTTGTTCAGTTCTTTATCTTTTCTGTTCTTTATCTCTCTTCTTTTTCTTTCCTGTTCTCGTACCTCCCCCAACCCCAGCACTGGGAATTGAACTCAGGGCCTTACACATGCAATATAAAAGCATTCTGCTACTGAGCTACATCCAAAAACCTCTTTTATCTTTCTTTTCATCATGGTGATTCTTAACACATGTGTATTACAACTTTCATAGCTTTAGATCTCTGTTTTCACTTTTTCATCCTTTTTTGGTTTGTTTTTCCATTGTAGAAGTACCTATTGGCATTTCTTCAGGCTCACTAGTGTTTGTCTCAGCCATGCCCAATTCTTTAAAGGCATTCTTCCTTCCTATTACAGTGTTGTAAGTTTTTGCATTTGTTTTTATGCTTCCTTAGGTTTTGTATCTATCTCCTGTTTATCCGTCTCTTGTCTTATCCACGTTTGTGTATTATAGCCCTTAAAATTAATCACAAATGTTTCAAATTACTGAGTTCATATTTCCAAACTCTCCATATCGAAGTGTGGTTTTTATGTTTCTTCTGCATCCTTAAGCTGCTTTTTCTGACATTTTTTAAGTTAGACATGATGGAATAGATAAAAAAAAATAATGGAGGTGCATGTACCTTTAGTATGAAGCTTCATGTTTGACTCAGGTTAAGTTTGTATTTTTGACTGTCCTCTATCTTTTGTTTGCCATAGAAACTTAGTGAATTGTCAGAATGGGTACTGTTAGTATGTAGAAGGATGTGGTGGTAAGGTGTCATGGGAGGGGGAGGCGTTCCATAACTCATGTGATTCTTTGTCTACTCTCCTCCTGGCTTGTGACTTTTCCCAGTGCCTTTCAGTTTATTTTTGATGTTCCCTTTAAGGAGAGACAGTTTGGGTATGGAGTTGAATGTTTTCTTCAACTACCCACTTCTTTTAGATTGTGGTAAAACTGTAAGACTTGGAGTACTGTAAACTAGTTTCTGTTTAGCCCCCCAAACTCTGGGCATATGGTTAATTTTCTTCCACCTTTACTAGAAGCATGAATTCATAAGGGAATTTTTCTCAGAGTTCTACTCAAGGTAAAACTACTAGGGAGCACAAACCTGTGCTGTTCCGTGATGGGATTGGGCTACTCAGTTTTTAACTCTGAAACTTGTCCAAATTGGGTCTTAGCAACTTTTTCATCTACAGATTAGGTTTCCTGTGCTGGTCATGAATGCTTTCCATGGTGTTTCTGCTCTGAGCTTCTGCTGGAAGGTGCTGACTCTGTGCAGCCTGTTTGTCTTCCCAGTTTGGCAGCAGCACTTCCCTTCACCATCTCGGAACTTTGGTCATCTACAGAGTTGCTCTGTTGGTTCAGCGTTGCTCTCTCACAGGGTGTGTGGAAGTGATCATTTCCAAATTTCTTATATACTGAGCCAGCATGCAAGATCATTTTTGAAAACAGAAAAAAATTTCTTTTTATAAAGTTTTGATCTCTTGAAAATTTATTAGAGTAGCCATCTAAGTAATATACTTCATTTTTAAAACAGAAGGTAACAGGTAAAATCTGTTGGAAGATTATTTTTTGTTTTGTTTTTTTTCCCTTAGATCCAAAATGCCCAGGAGATGTCGATTTTCATAATAGTGACTGGGACATTAAGACAATCACAAGCTCCTTAAAATTCTACCTCAGGTATGCTTTACTTCAGTTGGGATTTTGCTTTTCATGATTGCTGAAATTGGTCTAGGTGGAGATTGGAGTTGAGGTAGTCTCAGTTTCAGAAGCTTGAAAAAGATTGCTAAATAAAAGAACAGAAGAGAGAGGAAAAAGATGTTTTATGTTTGTCTTTGAGACAGGGACTAACTATGTAGCCTAGGCTGGACTGGACCTTGATACAATCATCCTGCCTCAGCCTCCTGAATGCTAGAATGATAGACCTGGCCACCACCTCAAGTTCTAGAAAACCTATCTTTGATATGAGTTTTTAATATAAAAAGCATTTGTTACTGAAAAAATATTTTTGAAAAAAACACTATTCTTTAAAACCTTGTGGGTATAGCTCAGTAGTAGAGTCTTTGCCCGAGAGAGGGAAAGAGAAATAGAATATGGCTATACTGTACTGTCATGTTTTAACCCATATAGGTGAAAATATAAAGAAAATACAGTGTTGGAGATAAATGAAGTGACAGCAGTAAGAAAAAAGATAAAATTTATGTCCTATTTATTGGCATAAGTATATGTTATTTAAAATGTTTGAATATGTGTATATAGACATATATGTATATTTATATACATCCAAACTCTCTATATATCCCTAAATTTTTTGAGACAGTGAGACAGGGTCTCACTTTGTAGGCTGGCCTAGAGCTCTCTCTATAGATCAGGCTGGCTTCCAACTCACAGAAATCCACCTGCCTCTGCCTCTGTACTGCTGAGATTAAAGGTATGTGCTACCACACATGGCACTCCCTTCAATTTTTCACTACCATTCTTTATGTCCTATAATATGCACTGTAGTTTCAGGCGTTTTCTTTTCAATTTTGTGGTCTTTTAGCATTATGATAGATATTTAAACTCTGCACTCTATCATTATTCCAAACAGTTGGGTCATGATATTGCTGTTGAGTGACCTTCCACTATAACATCACCTTGATTTAGTTCTAGTTTCATATAACTATGTTTCAGAAACATGTCTGCTTTATCTTACAAAGAAAGGGAATGCTATTGGAGGGCTTATCCCACGATAGGAAGTGTGCTGGTTGCTGTTTTTCACACTTTCATTGATACTTTTTATCCCAATACCCATGTACCACAGGAACTGCAATACTCCTATTTATAGGTGGGAGAACTGAGGTTCTTGCTTCTTCAACAAAGTATGTTTGTGGTTATAGCTGCTATTTTTTAACTTAAATTTCTGACTTATAAGGCTACTTTTACTGGGGTGTCTTTTTTTTCCCCTAATATCTCTTTTCAGGAGCCATGGCTGACTTTGGAATGTGTGGATAGTTTAATAATGAGAGAGCAATCTTATATGAATAATTTCTGAAGACTTGAGATAAGGAGTGTAGTCAGTGAGTAAGTGATGTACTGTCTCTATCCTCCTTAAAAGGAGTCAGTATTTTCAAAGATGTGTTTCAAAGGCTTTCTTAAATTTAAATTCTTTCTAGCTCAAGCCTAGTCAACAGAAGGGAAGGCCAAGCCTATGAATGAACAACACACGTAGTAAGAGTTGGTCATCACTGGGACTGTCATATGTACTAGGCTGTGATCACTCTTGATTTATTTCCATTTAATTTTTAAGAAAGAAGAGTTTGTTTTGGCTTGTTCCTTAAGAAAGTATCCAGCCCATCATGGCAGGGAAGTGGTGGCAGTAAGAACGTCAGGTCACATTGTATGTGTAGTCAAGATGCAAAGCTGATTTATTCTTACTTTTGTTTATATAAAGATTCATATCAGTGGCATAAATGGTAGGAAGGGACCTTTGAAAGAGTCTGTGAATGGAATCCCTTCACTGCTTATGGTCATGAAGGAGAAAGGAATCTGGTTTGTGCAAACAGACAGAATAGGAATCGAGAATAAAATGAATGTGTTAGTCCATGGGGCCATTTGGATTTGCCACGGAGAAATAATGTTTATTAAGAAATTAGATGTAGAGCCCTTCTTGTGCCCTTCAATGGCAGAAGTGGAAACCATGATGCTGTGCTGGTGCTTAAAACCACAAAAACAGATGACCCTCCGCTCTATGAAACATGGCAGACTGTTGGGAAAACAGCAATATAACATTTTATGGCACCCCCTTTTGTCTAGTAGTAGATACCACTGAAATAGAATCAAATCAATGGCCAAAATATGAAAATGAGTGTATTTCATAAAAAATGTTCATTTTCCATTTCTGTTGAAGATGGAAAGATTTGACTCCTATGAGTCCATGTGCTTATTTGTGTAAGTAAATATGGCTGCCACTGTAGAAAAATAAAGGCACGGTCATGTAAATGTAGCTTAAATATGAGATATGTGCAATATGAAAATTTCCTAGTCTGTAGATTTTTGAGTTATCCAGGCTTCTAGTGTTGTAAAAAGAGAAAGGAGCCATGATAAATTCCCAGAGGAGAAGGTCTAGAAAGACCCAAGTGATTAAGAGAAAAACCAAAATCAAGGGATTCAGGAAAATCCAAAGGCTAAGTCTCAAGGAAGTTTGTTAACAACATCAAATGACACAAAGAAGGCAAGTAAGGTAAAGAATGACAGTTGTCTTTGTGTGCAGCATTGGAGCAGTCACTTGTGGTACTGGTAAGAACAGCTTCCGTGGGGCAGTTGAGGTGAGTCAGATTATAGTGGATTAGAGAGTAAATCAGGGGATTCTGGGACTAAGAAGTAGAAATGGCATGTACATTACTTTCTGTAGAAACCTGGCTGGAAATGTGGACACTTCATCAAATGATCTTGTCTAAGCTCCTGCCACTGTGGTTAGCGATTTCCCAAGTGTTAGTTCCATCCCAGAACTCATCTCTTGGTTTCTATCCTGCTCTACTTCATAGGATCAATGGAAGGGTCAAATAGAACAGATATAAAAGTGCTTTGGAAAGTCTTCGGATCCATCAACTTGTAAGCACATGGTCATATTTAGAGTAGGTCTGCCTTAGAAGCAGCAGGACTGGTTTTTATTTCCTTTCACTTTGGGGAGCTAATTGGAGACCTTACTAGAAGCCTCAGCCTATATTTTTGCACACCTTCTCTTAAACTTTGATCCCACGGGTAAACCTTCTGGGAGATGTGTGTAATCAGGCTAAGCTGTGGGCCCAGAGTCCAAGGGCTGATTGCTCCTTCCTCCAAACAAGTGATTGTCTTCATTCATTTCAGGAATCTTTCAGAACCTGTCATGACTTATAAGCTTCACAAAGAGCTCGTCTCTGCTGCCAGTAAGTATGTGCACTGCTAGTTAAATTCTGTTGTCCTGGTTTCCTAGTAAGTTTACAACAAAAAAGCTAGAAAACTTCTTTGAGGGAAAAACTCCCAACATAAACTCAAATTTTGCTCACTGCCAAATGAGAATATTTTTGTTTGCTAACTTTTCGAGGTAGAGAATTTTGATAACCAATGTTAGTGGCATGGTTTCAAGTAAATTGGCTAACTGGAGGCATGTGGTGTGTACTTTTGGGCTCTTTCAATAATTGGCTTTGGAAGGCAGCAACCTTAGTACCGCACACATAGTGGGTGGGGAAAGGGTTTCTCACTGGAGGCTTTGCTTGCGGCTTTAGAGACAGCCTGCTGTGACCACAATTCTGCCTGCCTCTGAGACTGTCTTGTCCACAAGCTTCCATTTCCCACTGTCTCATTTCTTCACCCCTTTAGGCTTATATTTTGTTTCTTTTGCTTTTTAATCTCTCCTTGCCATTGTTGGTTTTTGTTTCTATTTTTTTCTTGTTTATTCTGTGTCTGTGTCTATTTCTTTACTTGTTTCCTCTTCATCTCTTTTACTGTTTTCCTCCCTTTTCTTCTCTCTCTCTGTCTTCCTTTCCCTGTACTCAGGTGTGTGTGTGTGCGTGTGCGTGTGCATGTGTGTGTGTGCGTGTGCGTGTGCATACACACATGAGAGTTTTCTTAATCCAGTCACCTAGAAGCTAAACCCTTTCTCTATGTTCTGCCAGAATCTGACAACCTGGATTACCGTCTGGGAGCTATTCACTCCCTAGTATATAAGCTACCAGAAAAGAACCGGGAGATGCTGGAACTTCTAATCAGACACTTGGTAAAGTAAGTAACTGCTGGGTTTTCAGAGTTTCTGTTGAGGGTTTGGCACACATGGTAGGACCAAAGAAAAACTGACTCCCAAATCATTGAGCAACAGCCCACAACTTTTTCTTGGGCCATCTGAGTATTCTCTGAGGGAGGCCAGTCTTGCATTCTCCACTGTATGTATCCTAGAGTCAACAGGCCCCTGGTCTGTTTTAGCTCAAAGGTAGCAGTAAGTTAGTGTGCTGTGCACCAGGACCCGACGTGTACTTTACTGTCAGACAAGCCTAGTTTGGGATCCCAGTTCTACAACTTACTTAGCTGTCTAATCCTAAGCGAGCCCCTCTGAGCTTCTATGTGTTCATCTCTATGATGAGAATACTGATGACTGTGAAGTAGGAGTGTCATGCATTCAAAGGAACGTAGGAAAGCATATGGCATATAGTGAGTTCTTAAGAAGTGTGATTTTTTTTTTTTTTTTTTTTTTTGGCCAGGCACAATCTGTGTGTCTGTAATCATAGCGTTTGGGAGGATAGTGTAGAAAGACTGTCAGTTTGAGGCCAGACTAGACTATTATGTAGTGAGACCTTGCCAAAGGAAAGAAAGAATAAAAGAAAGGAAGTAAGGAGTGAGAAGGGGGGAAGGAAGGAAGGGAGAGAAGGAGGGATAGATGGACAGAGGGAGAGAGGGAGTCAGGGGAGAGAGAAATAAATAAAATGAGAGATGCTAGCATCTGGTCAACCTTCTGGCCTGGTGTGGTACATTAGGAGACTTAGAAGGGGTACACATACTCCATGATGTTGCATCATGGGAAAGATTCAATTTTGTGAACAAAGACTAATTTGCATGGATCAAAACAAAGACAGAAAGCATGCAGTTCAGAAGTTATCAAACTTGGAGTGCTTATTTCAGTTCTGTTGCTAGCTCATTTGATTGGTCTGTGCCTCTTTGGGCCTCTCCTAGTATTGTAAGCAGTAATGTGTAAATAAGCTTCAAAATTATAATGCATCTTAAATATATATTTAGCAAATAAGCCTATCTACACACTCCCAAAATTCATCATGCTACATTGCCCCTTTTCTAGAGAGGATCTAAACACTTAAAATTAGTTGCTCCTGTGATATATATATATCATTACTATAATGAGATAATGAGATATAAGAGAGAGAGGAGAGAGAGAGAGAGAGAGAGAGAGAGAGAGAGAGAGAGAGAGAATGAGAGAACTCTGCCTATCTGGACCTCAGGTGTTCCTGTGATGTGAGGTATCTTCCAAAATCTGATGCAGCTTGTACCTTCTAAGATTTTTTTACACTTCTACAGCAAGTGGATATTAAAGGTGCTGATATAGATAATGAGCATGGATAGCAAAAAGATGGAATGCGGGTTATTGTTGATGTCTGCAGCTCAGACTAATAAAGAATATTAAGAGACATGTTCTCTCCAAAATGTACTTTGATGTAATCTTAGTAAAAATACAAAAATCAATAAAGAAATTACTTGTGCATTAATTTGAAGTTGCTCTAGGGAAAGTAACTTTGAGTTCCATTTCTAGGTCTAACTCTAATTTGTTATGTGACCTAAAGAAAGTCCTTCCATTCTTTGGCCCTCAGTTTGTTAATATAGAACTTGTTCATCTATAGTTGGAAGGAGCTGAATCAGCTATTTTTCAAAGCAATCTTTTAGCTGTGACTTTCTGAAAATCTAATGTATAACAAGAGCCTAAGAACTCATGATAACTTTCTTGCTGGTAGTGACTGATGGGGTATCTTCCTCCATTTTCCTTTCTACCTGATTTACTTCAGCATTTCTGCTCTTCAAAATCTTTGAAACAAAAGAGATACATATAGATGTATCACAGAAATAGAAAGACTTAAACGTGTGGAAATTTAATGCTCAATCTCACCATAGTAATGAAATGCAGATTGAACTTTTACTGAGCTCCAATTCATTGACAAATTTCAATTAATATTTTCTGTCAATGAGATTATGGGAAACGTGCACTCTGATTAATTGCAGTATTAGTTTAGTATGCTCCTAGAGAAGGGGTATTCAGAACTAGTTAACACTTGTGCATATTAATATTCACTTAATCTACCAGTCACATTTTTTGACATCTTCTCTAAAGATACATCTCCACAAATTCAAAACAGTGTTGGTCGGTGCAGCATACTTTTAAGAACAAAAATTGGACATAGTACATGTCCAACAATGAGGACTTGTTGAATGAGTAAGGGTCTATTCTACCATGTAGTATTGCGCACTCATAAAAAAAAGAATAAGGGCTTTGTCTATGCAGGTTTTTCCCCCATGATATACATTGTACATATTAGATTATAAAACAAGCAACAACAACAGCAGTAGCAACAACAAAAGACCTAAGACATAAATCAGGGGATGTAATATTCTAGAATTTTTCTAATAGAAGAGGAAAATTAAAAATGTAAGAAATCACACACATGTTAAAAATTTGTCAAATGAAGCACAATATGATTTTAAAAATACCTAATGATTCCAAAAGTTAAATATAGGGTTCTACATGAGCTGGGAATTCTATTTCCTCACTATATACCCAAGATAAATAAAAACAGATGTCCATACAAAACCTTACACACACGGGCCGGGCGGTGGTGGCGCACGCCTTTAATCCCAGCACTCGGGAGGCAGAGGCAGGCAGATCTCTGTGAGTTCAAGGCCAGCCTGGACTACCAAGTGAGTTCTAGGAAAAGGTGCAAAGCTACACAGAGAAACCCTGTCTTGAAAAACCAAAAACAACAACAACAAAAAAAAAAACCTTACACACAGATATTTATAACAGCATTATCCATAATTATTTAATGGTGTAAATAAACCTAGCATCCATCAGTATATAAATTGATAGCTAAAATATTCCATAGTAATTAGGAGTTGCTGATGCTGGATGTGGCAGGTTTTTATGGAATAATGAAAGCTTCTCGCATTAGTGACAGTTATACAACTCTATAAATATACTAAAAGCTATTGAGTAATACTCTTTCAAATGGGGAACTTTATGGCAGATATACCTCAGCAAAGTTCTGCAAGTTATGAAAATGGCTATACATGGGGAATGGTACCAATGACATGGAGGGGATAGGGACTAAGTCACCTTCTGATACAGTTTTTACTTCCAATCAATGCTAATTTGTACAAATTCAAAAACAAAATTAAAACAAAGCAAATTTTAAGAACCCTAAAACAGGACACCAAAAAAGCAGATGAATGTTTGTCAACTTGATAATAGAAACACATAGAGAAAGCGGCTATTTCAACTAAGTTGTCAGCCCATGCCTCTGACTCATCCTTAATGAAACAGCCTTGGAAAACAAGAAGAGTTACAGAGAAACTTTAAGCATCATCTGGTTGACTTATTAGTAGTCATATAAATATGATCTAAAATATGTACACATTTTATAAGGAAGAAACATATTTGTATGTGTTTATACATTAGTTTAACAGAAGCTAAGGTTCATGATGTAAGAAAAGGAGAACTGGATACAAAGTTAGAGGTGAAGAGCAGAGTTTTGCAATATTAAAGGTAATGGGGAATGTCTGTGAATTCACTATACAAAGCAAAACAAAACCATCTCTTCCAGCCTTCAAATGATTCTCTCCCTTCTCAAAAAATATGTGAGTGTACCTAGTGCCCAGTTCTTTGTTTCTAAATACTATTATTCCCTTTTCAAAGGGAGCAGAGTGGCTTAGGAAAGTGGCCATTCCAGATCTGGGGTTTGGAAACACTAGGTGAGCTTTGAGTAAATTATATCACAAACAAAGGTATTTACTTGATAGGGATGACACCAATGATATTTGGGAAACCTGAACATGAATATTTGATCATAGCACATTGAAGAAGCAGAAACTGGTGGGGAAGATGGTAAAGAAAGAAGAGCTATTAATAGAGGAATAGCAGTTAATGAATGTGAGAGTGATAGCAAAATCATTAGCTTGTACTGCACTACCTTGTTTTTAAGCACTGATCAAAGGATCAAAAGAGAAAGTAATATTGAGAGACAAGATACTCATATCATTTCAATGTATTGCCTCAGGCTACTAATTATAAGTGGACAATGTGGATCTTTACAATCTGTAACAGATAATTGTCTTATGTCCTTGGTCAATGTTAGCACCACCAATAGTGATAAAAGTTGACCCTGTATGTCTCCTAATTTGATAAAGTGTGAAGTATAAAGAATAAACTATGAAATGTTTAACATGAATCAAACTAAGAAACAAAAGTTTACAAATACAGAGAATGCTTGACATTCTATGACACTATTGACTTGGGTTTATAAAAAAAGTCAGTATTATGGGAAAGGAGGTAGGGATCCTAATAAGCAAATGCAGTGCATGAATTTTGATTTTACCTACATGTGAAAAGCTCAGTTTAAAAAACTTTTTTTTGACACTTGAGAATATTTGAATATGGCATAGATATTAGGTGATGTGGAATTGCATATTTTCTTGTACTTGAAAATCTTGGTGTAGTCTAGTAGGAAAGTTTGCTTTGTCTTTAAATGCGAATGCTGGTACTTCAGGGATTAATCAGTTTACTTCCAGAGAATTCAGAAAAAATACACAGAGAAAGCAAATGTGGCAAAATACTGACTGCTGAATCCTCCTGTAGGCTGGCCAAATGTCCACAGTACTTGTTTGAGTCTTTCATCACTGTGACACAATACCAGAACAAAATAACCTTAAGAGAGAAGATGTTTATTTTAACCCATCACTTCATCATGGTAGAGTGAGAGAGGATGTCCATGGCAAAAATGAACATCTTATAATGGCAAGGATTAAGAAGGGGAAGGGAGGGAGGGAAAAGAGAGAGATGGAGAGAATGTGAATATGAATAGCTTAGTGGGCTTTGTCCATTTCCCCCTTTTGCTCCACATATGCCCCAAGCCTATGGGATGTTGTTGACAACATTTAGATCATGTCTCCCACCTTACTTAATACTCTATGGAAATGGCCTACCAGAAACACTCTGAGGTGATCTTTACAGTTCT